TCAAAGAAGTGCTGTATGTATGACGATGATCGTGGTGGAGCTCCACGAACAAGGCCTTTGTCACACCGATGTCTCGCATAAATTATATTAGACGCATAAGCATTTGTTGGAATCAGTTTAAAAGTTAAAGCTAAAAACCTCTCGTATCCACTGTCTGTAAGAGGTGGAGGCACTCGGAAACAAGTCGAGCTAGTGCCAGCAGCAACTATCCGCAAGCAAGATTATCGATGGCTTCTTTTTTTTTGGCACATAATGCATTGGTTCATATTGCATTTGAGACGGTTTCCTTCCAAATCATGCATAATTTATGGTCAGATACTATCGGGAGAAAATGCCTTCACTGCTATCCGTTTTCTAGGTCTTGTTATTTTATGCAGGTGACCAGCCAACAATCGTCCAGTTTGCCACAAATGATCCTGAAGAATTTGCTGAAGCAGCGATGTTCGTGAGCAGGTACTAGCATCCACATACCACTGAGCAGTCTGCTATGTAGCATCTATAACAATCCAACATTTTTATAATGTATCAGCACCAGTGCTTCTATTCTGTTATGCATTTTTGCATTTTTATGCAAACGCAAAAACACATACTCTCGAAAGGTTGTCCATGTGCGTGGATGTTTGGGGATGAGTGAACTTTGTCATCCACTTTCAATAGGAAAAGTTTGGAAACTGAAATTTTGGGGCATATTCCAGTACCTATACCGTTTTTCCGTTTCAAAATTTCCGTCCTAGTGCGCTAGAGTGTCATGTATGATGAATGAAATAAAGCAAAAATTTTTTGACGGGGAGCCAAACAACAACTTTCGAAAGTTGAAACTTTGCGTCCTATGTGCATGGTTGTGTTAAAGATCTCAAATTCAGCTGTCGCACACGCTTCCATCACGCATAAGACCATTTAAAAGCTCGGAGTTGGTCCTGCCAACTCAAGGACCACACGAAAAACGGCTATGGATTTGTCAAAGTGTCGTCCACCAGGGGATTCGTTTGCTTAAGTGGGATTTCGGACAGCAGTTGCGGCACGCTCTAAGGCATACGGAAAATGTTTGTAACGTGATAGCGATTTCGATATCCCAAGCTGAAGTTTTAAAAGAATGTTCTATGTTCATATTTTATCTGAAATTCAGCTTGGACGCTGAATTTTTTGCAAATATAAATGTTTGGCTCAGTCTTAACCTTAAAATAAGTGCAAAATTTTGTTTGGATTTCGTTATCCTTCTCCCTTCACATCCACCTCATTGTTCAGTTTACATTTTCAATGAATAACCGATAATAGAAAATTTTCCGCTTCGTAGCCGATGATAGAAAATTTTCCGCTTCGTAGCCGATGATAGAAAATTTTCTATCATCGGCGGAAAAATTTTGAATAACCGATGATAGAAGATTTTTCGCCTCGTACATGCTAAATTTTACGCTAGCCATGCTTGATGGAGGTCAAGATTCCACGCGGCGTCGTGATATAACTCTGCCGTGTCAGCCAGTGCCATTTTCCCCTGCACTTTCCCCAGTGCCATTTTCCTTTTATGCAAAATTTGCTATGATTTATGTATTGAACGCACAAAGTAGATGTGAAGGAACAACCGTTCATGCAGTTAACCTAATTCAAGTTTGGTGCAAAAACGCATTATCGCATCGGCTCGCCTGGTGCATTCAAGCCTGAGTCATTGTTCCTACTTTTTGTGCATTCTTCTGTGCAACAGCGGTGCAAAACACGTATTGTCGAAATCGAAATGCTTTGTGCGTGTGTTTTTGTCTAAAATTTTAATTTATTAAAAAAAAAGTTAAAAAGGTAAAATTTTGAGATCCTTTCTCTCATATGCGATCCCATAAATTTAAATTTAATTTTGAGATCCATTGATCTCAACTCAGGACATATGAAAATTTTGGCGGGAAATTTTGTTGTTGATAACTCGAAAATACAAAAAGTTGAAATTTTGAAAGGTGCTTCTTGTCAATTTGTTGCTCTGGGAATTCAATTTCAACTTCCACGTATGCGTACGCCTCGCGTGCAAATACATGAATTTTAGGCGAGAATTTTTTGGATTCTTTCTAGCTGTGCTGATCAGATGTGTTCA